TTTTTATGTACCTTCTCATTTGATTCATTTCTGTTATATTTCCTTTTAAATAAATACCTGATTACATCTGATTAAGTGGTACGGAAATTAACTATGCATCAACTTTTGGCCCTATGATATTTTTGCTCTATTTCTTTCTTTTTATGTATTAGTTTAATTTTTAAAAGATAGATTGAGCATAACTGCTCCATGACGACATGATTGAGCAAAACACACGAGATAATATTAAAATGGAAAAATCTTACAGGCTATATACATTTATATATTTATTGCACTTAAAAAATTAATATGGCTTGAAAAATTATTGTATGTTTCTGATTCAGGTCTTATAATTCAAAATTATTCAAAAGTCAATTAATCTTATATATGTTTAAAAAAAAATATATGTGAGACTAAACATATTCAAGGTTCAATTTCTGCTCGTTTGTATCCTGTCGACTATTTTCCTACAATAATTTATATAATATCTCTTTTTATTTCTCTCCACTTGAACTGTGAACTGATAGGCCAAAGAGAGTGCAATTTAAATAATATTTATTAAACATAAAATTAATTTTCAATTTATATATATTTATTTGTTTAATATTTTTTGGAACTTTGCCGGTTACCACTTGATTAATAAATTCACTATTATTAAGTTATTAACCAATAGGTTTAAATGGGCCTTAGTGAAGGAGTGGGCCCATCTCGGTCAGTACAACTAAGCACACTCCGAAGCCCATCGAACCTAGACTTAATTTTATTGAAAAAAGTGCAATATCTTAATATATGATTGAAGGAGATATAAATCATACAACAACTAATAATATTATATAAAACATAAATTATTATTATTTCACATATTTATTTGATTTTTTGGCACTAATGTGAACGGGGAGAGTATTCATGAAAAGTCAAAATTAATTAATTTCACTGCAAACATACAAAATAAGTGCACCATAAAATAAATAAATGTAAATAGGGAAATGGAAATGAAATTATTGCGGGCGTGCAGAAAATTAGTAAGGGGCAGAGTAATGGTCCCCTAATGAACTTTGATGTTTCTATTCTATTGCTCTTTAATGAGGAATTGAGGATTATTCACACCCAAAGCATCATATATATATATATATATATATATATATATATATATATATATAGGGGCTGGTTCAAATAAAAACTATGTCTGGTGTGAGAACCGTGAGAACCATATTTGATGCTATTTTTAATTGTGTATGATGCTATTTTTAATATTACATGGTGCTATCATTTTCATAAATGCTAATAAAAATTTTGTTGCTATTTTTAATCAAATACATCCTAGTTAAAAATAGCACTAAAACACAATTAATCATAGCACTACATACAATTAAAAATAGCGGTTCTCACGGTTCTCACACTAGGACTTGGTTCTCATTTGAACCACATCCTATATATATATTTATATATGTAAAGTAAATTTGAGGACCAAAAAAATATGGACAAAAAAGAAATAAAAGGAGCAGACATCCCACGAAGATTTGGGGTGCCATGTCAGCCTCTTCACTCGGACGTTAGATAACAGTTTCTTTGAAAAAAGCACCCTTCTCCCACCGGATAAAACATTAATTAACGACCATTCACCCGTGCCACGTCATTAATTTCCTTTTGGTTTTGAGCTATTAAATTAAAAGAATTGAGTTGTTCATAAATACGGTACATTTAATTCGTGAAAGATCGAGCTCGAACAACTGATCGAATTGTTTAATCAACAAGTTGACTTGACTGTATTCGTAATCAATTTGTTTTTTATTTTAATTTTTATTATTTTGTATGTTTTATATGAAACATAAACTTGTTTGCGAAATGACGTTTCATCTTCACGAGCAGTTCGTTTAAGTTTACATTTGTTAAACGAATCAACCTGAGCTGAGCCTTAATTCAATATCCACGAACAATTCGGCTCGACTTGTTTACGTGAAAGCTAGAGCTGAAGATCATTTATTAAACGAGGTGAGTCAAATTTATTCACAAGCAACTCGTTGTTATTTTATTTATTTTTTTGTTATTTTGATGGATCTTTAATGCAATCGTCAAGCCAAAATTATTCGTGACATAACATTTATATTTATGAACAACTCGTTTAAGATTTCAGATTTATTAAACGGGTTAAGCCGAGATAATCAGCCAAACTGACTTATTTATTAAATGAGCACAAGCTCGAACATGAGCTACCTGACTCGAATTGCATGCCTACTGTCCTCATCCCTTTTGATATCTCATTTTGAACTATGAAAACAATGAAAATTAAATTATACAAAATATAACTATATTATTTAATGTATCTTGATCTATGCATACTTTTGTTGATTAATTTGGGGATTAATTTTTATGGTACTCTAGTTACTATCTAGATTTTGCTTGCATCTTACATTTATTATCTCTTGTTTGGAAGGCATTGAAACAACTTAATGCCTACTTTCAAATTGATAATATTGTGGCTAGGATTGAGATGATAATATGTGAGTCAAACCTTGTCTGTTATCCAAAATTTGCTGAGGCCATTAATCAGTGCTCATAAATGTTTGTGATCCTTAAATCCTAACATGAGGGACATGTTTAAGTACCCTTGCACACATTTTAAGGGGTGCAACTTTTTCTCTCATAATTATTGGAATCCCATTCTTGCCCTTGGCTTCCTACTAACCCTTCTTGACCAATCCCCCTTCAATAATGAGTATTCTGAAATCTCAAAATTTATTATGTACTCTTTTATTAAAATAACCATAATAAACAAATTACTTTATATAAACAAAGGGAAACAAAATTTCAATTGCACCCTCATTCCCAATACTCCTCCAGCTCGGATATGATAAGGTCATTCGAGAACCCTAACTCTCAATTCGCACTTTCATCGCACAATGCTATATAGTATCTAAAATAGTAAAATCTTACTTAATCTAGGTAAAGTAATAGCAAATTAATGTATTAAAGTTTGATGAAGGGGAAAATTTTTGCAGCCAGCCGAATGAACTCCAAAGAAGAGGAACAATCTTTCACATGGTTCATGGCCAGATGTGGAGGATAGAACAAATTAAAGTAAATATTTTTAAAATGGAAAATCTAGTAACATCCATTTTAATTTATCCTGAGACCAAACATAATATTTAAAAAAGAGCATCACTTTTGGCATAGGGCCATACTCCAAAGCCAACTGCCCCTAGAAGAGGAAAGAAATGGATTTTGATTAAAAATTGGTTTTCCAAATAAACTTAGCATGTGAAGGTTTTTGGAGTTTTTGGGGTACAAAATTCGTTTACCTAATTAAAAAATTAAGCACGTCACAAGGCCACCACTATAGTCTATGGGCTATGGCTGCTTTTCCTGCTGTCCGTTACAAATCTGCCGGCGCCAATTTTATTTCCATTTTTCTTGAAATAATTTCACATTAATAAAATGGCCAAAACAATTGAGGCTTGCACTTAATTAAATAAATACCATAATTATTCAATTGTCACATAGAAGTAGTGTTCTTGTTAGAGAACTCTTAGCAATGTTAGAGATTTGAGATTAAAACTGCTTAAAATAATATGAGATACGATAACTAACGTTATGGCACATCAGTTAATTGACATATTAATGAGTGGCCACCGTGGACAAAAGAGCAAAAATAGAACATTACACGAGTTGAGCTCGGGCTCAAGCCCTTATAGTGTTGAACTGCTAAGTTAGGAGCTTGAGTTATGTTCTTTAGAAAGCCTTAACGAATCGAATTATGCCCAAAATTACATTAGATCTCATATGTTACAAACCTAACAATCCGAACGTTAGCATCTCAGAGTGTTACTTATCGTGTAGCGTTCATCTATAAGGATTAATGTGGATGATATTACACAAACATAATTGTTGACATAAATTTTGACATAATACAGACGTGACACGATCTTGTACCCATCACGCCACCTTTTAAATATTTATGCATCATTATGTCAAATAGCATTATTTTGAGGATTATATCTCCAGCATTTGTCATTTTCAACATTTTTCATTCTCCGGCGGTAGCGATTTATGGTCGGCGGGAGTTGCGGGTTGTGTGCTGAAGGAGGGCAGGGTTTTCTGGACTCCTGAGGTTGTCTTTTGTGGCTTGGATTGGTTTTGGGTCCATTCTTTGGGTCTAGCCGTAGGGGGAGTTTCTCGATTCGAGTCCATGGGACGTTGACGTATTTGTTGATTGCTCGCGCCTGGAGATTTTGCCGCTTAGGAGAGGATGTTGTCCAGAGTTGTTCGGATCCAGTCAACCATAGATGTGCTGGAGTTTCTGAATCTGCGATTTGAGTTCGGGTTTTGTCTGTGGGTGGTAATCTCTGGGTGCAGTCCTGTTGGTATTGCTGTGGAGCGGCTTACAAGCCGCAGGGGAGGGTGTTACTCAAATTTAGTTGGTGTTTGTGATTGTGTTTAGTATTTTTTTTTTCTTTCGTGCTTTTATTCTCCATTATTGGAGCTTATTCTATTATTGAAACTAAAATTCTCTACTTGAAAAAGTTTAGTTTACAACTTTCGGAGTCGTGAGTGTGTGTAGTTTAGTTTATTCTTGGCTACTGCCGTTCTTGTCCTGTAGCCCTCTCTGAATTCAGATGTATAGTTGTTTCAGTCGACTAATTTTTTTTTTTTTCCTAGTCGACTAGTTAATCGCTTATAATTATGTGTTTTATTATTAGATTCTGTCGTTATGAAGAAAAAAAATGTCAGTACCCTACTCGTGGTCAATGACAATGAGTTGGACCGAACCAGATTGACGGGCGAATGAGTCGTGACAATGTCTAATCCCAAACCTTCAATCAAATATTGATAGTAAATAAATGATAAATAAAATTACAGGTCATTTAAAGCCATATGCAACTGTCATACCAAATTCGTAAATATCACCAAAAATCGAGGGCATACCCAATAAGGGCATCGTTATATAAATCCCGTCCAAACATCAAACGCACAGTTTCAAACCCAGAAATAATATTATCTCATTATTTTCCCCCTAAATTAAAATGTCGGCGTGCAGCAAAATACGCCACATTGTCCGGATCCGGCAGATGCTCCGGCGATGGCGGAAGAAGGCGGCGACGTCGGCCCGCCAGGCCCCTGCCGACGTGCCAGCTGGGCACGTGGCGGTGGCCGTGGGCTCGGGCCGCAGGCGGTTCGTGATCCGGGCCGCCTACCTGAACCACCCTCTGTTCAGGAAGCTCCTGGTTCGGGCCGAGGAGGAGTACGGGTTCGGTAATCCGGGCCCGCTGGCCCTCCCTTGCGACGAGTCCCTGTTTGAGGAAATCCTGAGGTACGTGGCCCGAACAGAGTCGGATACGAACGGTACGGCCCGATTCATGAGCTTCGAGGATTTCCAGAGATACTGCCGCGTGGACTTTAGGAGTAATTTAGAGTTTTGGGCCGAATCCCGGCCCCTTCTGCAAGGTGGGCCCGATAGGCCCATTTTGTGAGTATAAGTAACTGGATTGGGAACAAAAATGGAGATATTTTGACCCGGGCTGACTCGTCCGAGTTAGCTCCCAATGCCATTTACTTTGTTGGGCATGGACTAATTTATCCGTCATTTAACTCGGTGGGTGATGAGTCACTGAGTCAAAGACTCGGTGACCGTGTTAGGAGTGGAGATGGCAAGTGGGTGGGCGAGTCACCGCAGAGTCGTCCCGGGTCGGAATTGGAGACGAGTCATGGCAAGTGATCATGAAGAGGAAAGAAAAGAGAGATGATTTGACAATGATGTCACATATTCTTGTAAATTAGAGTGTTTTTTATTCTATTTTTATTTTTTAATGGAAATTGTAAATGGGTTGCATTCAAGCAAATCTCTTTTTCAATGATTTTATTTATTTATTTATTTTTTATTTTTTGCATGCCAATATTTCTTTTGTTTAACAAATTAAGGAGTAACAAAAATGGGGGAATGCAGCCAAAAACGAATGGTAAAATTTAATAATTATATGGAATTTTGTGTGTGTAGAGAGTCTAATTTTCTGCTAGATTCATTACCTTTTTTTTATTATTATAATTATCTTTTGAGCTATTTAAATTTAGTTTTGAGCTATAAAATTTATCTTTTCTAATATATTAAATTCCAATTAATTTCTACCCCACCTTTAATTGATTTTGAATTTTTTTTTTTAATAAATATTTCATATACCAGAAAAATGGATGCATCTTAATTTCATCACGGTACTATTCAGTGGTCCAATCTTGTTCTTCTCAACTCTCAAGGTACATACAGACATATATATACACACATATATATATATGATTAATATACCTACCTTGAATTTAGCAAACAAAATGCTATCATCTGCTGTTTTACTTTGTCACCATAAAGGGAGCCCAATTTGCTCTGCTTGCAGCTCAGTAAGGGCATATTGGACCAATTGTTGGATTACACACAGTTACCATATACGATTAAGGGATAGCATTTATTTAGATATAGTTGTTATGGTATTTTCTCTTGGTATTTTTAATATTGTCATTATTTTGTAGAACCCATGTAATTTTACGTGTTTGTTTTTTTTTTCGAACCTCTATATTATCTCTTTGTAAGACAGGTATATTTTTTCGAAGCTCTATATTATCTCTTTGTAAGACAGGTATATATATAATGAAAAGCACATGCGTAGAAGTCCAAGTGAAGAGATGATTGAAGGAAATCCATATATTTTCTAGGACTGTAATTCGGCTAAAAATGTCAGCTTCATTATTCGATGTGATCACATTTCGAAAGGTCGTTACACGTCTTGCTTTTACTGCTATTTTATTTGGTATGTAAAGATTCTTATTAAGGGTGTTATATTTTCTAACTTGGGGAATATATTATGTAATCCTTTTATAAATAGGACTGTGCTTTTATGGACGATTTGTATGATGATTTTATGAGAGAAAAACGTCTATTTTATTGTTATTTTATTGGAAAGTCGAAGGAGTTCAATGGGCTCTTATTGTTAAAAAATTTATAAAAACGTGTGTCATTTTAATTTTTGCACCAATTTGCTTTTTGTTGTGTGGCCGTCCCGACTCAACCGCTCGACTCATTGGCAGCGGAAGCTTCTCTTGAGCTCGACCGACCCGCTTGCAAGCTCTCTCTCTAATTTGCAGGGGTGCTGCTCGTGCCCAGTGGACTCCTGGTTCGCTGTCCGAGCTCCGGGGCTGATTCACGTACACTCTTTCGGGCCCCGATTTTAGCCCGTTTCAGCCTACAATCAAATACACGATTAAGTTCTAATGAACAACAATAATCGAATAGATAATACACTAAGTACAAATATGATAAAGGCTGAAAATCGAAATAAAGGAGAAGGAATGGTAAACTCCCTTTCGACGACGACTGAAGGAGAGGGACACGAAGTCGGCTCTCCCGGCTCAGATAGCCCTTGAGCCCGGCACCCTCGGTAAGTAGCGGCTCGGTGGTGGTCAACGAACGGCGGCCCCGGTTCCTCAGCCCGCACCCCGGGCTGCTCCTCACCACGAGCCACGCACCAGGTCCACCGTCGCAAAGCCTCGCCTTAGCACAGCGGCTCGCCGGAAAGCACCACGCAAGGGCTTTATCCGGCGACGGGAAACTAGGCGACGGCGACGGCACTATGGCGGCACTCCGACGGCAAGACGGCTCTATCTCTCGGCGAAGGTCACGAAGAAGGTATAAAGAGAAGTCAGGTTTCTCTCACAGAGAGAGAGGGGCGTAGTGAGCGAGAGAGAAAAAGAGCAGAGCGTAATTTTCCAGTTTTGTAGGCGGAGAGATAAAGATAGGTTTTTAGGTGTGAGTGAGTGGTTGGGATTAAATCCCTTAATCCAACGGTTCCGATTAATCTTCCATTTATGTGTGTAATCGGGCCAAGCCCAGACGGGATTGGGCTGGGGCTACTTGGGCCTGAGATCTTGGGCCAAATTTCCAACAATTTTGATGTCATTTGTATACATAAAAGACTACTCACTCTCCTTACTACCTATTCTCAACTTTAATGTGATCTTCCTTAATTCCTCATGCTTCCTTAATTCCTCATGTCATCCCTTAACAACTGCCTAACAATCTACAGAATGGGCTTTAGTGCCACTTAATGGGCTTTATTATGCCCAAAATAGAACAGTTTTATGACTCGACATAAGAAGAAATGTAAATTAGACGGGTCCACGTTCCTAATAGATCCACGTGGCTGTTTCTTAGTGGATCACATGTGGGCTTTAGGCTCACTGAATGGACTTTATTATGCCCAAAATCAAACAGTTTTTTGTTTGCACATAAGAAGAAAGGTAAATTATCTCCCTACCCTCTACTTCAGTCTCTCAACGTGGCTCATATTGTATAGGCCCACTACAGGCCTGCGTTGAAGGCCTACCACGACTATAAAATCGAAAAATTCGATAAAACTGAAACTATACTCTGGACCAAAAAAAAAACTATAAAAAATGTAGAAGAAAAACCGTATTTAATGACTCTTGTTTTATTTTCTGTGTTACTTTCCCTTAAAGAAAGACATAATAAAACATTTAAATTAATAACTAACGAAGTAAAAGTTAAAACATTTGCAACACAAAAAAAATAAATTGCTTATTAAAGTTGCAAGATGTTAAAAGTTAAAAGGAAATATTACAGTCTCGTTGACGGAATGATTCTATCAATATTTTCTACCGCAAATATAAATGTAGATCAATTTAGTGTAAATAATCTACGGTAAAAAATATTGAATCATTCCGTCAACGAAACTGTAATTATCCCCGTAAATTAATGTCCTTATAACTTTTGTTGACTAACTTTTTTACCAACATTGACAAAATCCTGCTATCACTAATTTTCACGTTTTCTTTCACACGTTTCTATTTGTTGTGCATTTTGTCAATGAATTGAGGTGGTGAAATTTAGT